TGTGTGTGTGTGTGTTTGTGTGTATGTTGTGTGTTTGTGTGTGCGTTTGTGCACGTATGAATATTTGTAAGAATGTATATATGTAAGTATGTATGTATGTATGTAGGCATGTATGTATGTATGTCCGTATGTATGTGTACACGTGTGTATTTATGTATGTGTACACGTGTGTATTTATGTATGTATGAATGTATGTATGTATGTATGTATGCATGTTTGTATGTATGTAAGGTACGTATGTATGTATATATGTATGCATGTATCTATTTATGCTTCTATCTATCTATCTATCTATATATCGATCTATCTATCGATCGATCTATCTATCTATCAATCTATCAATCAATCTATCTATCTATCGATCCATTTGTCTCTCCATGTATGTATGCATGCTTGCATGTGTATATGTATGTATGTATGTATGTATGTATGTATGTATGTATATATGTATGAATGAATGAATGAATGTATGCAGGCATGTATGTATGTATGTATGTATGTATGTATTCACGCATGCATACATGTATGTATGCCAGTATGTGTGTATGTATGTATGTATGTATGTATGTATGTATGTATGTATGTATGTATGTATGTATGTATATATGTATATATATATATATATATATATATATATATATATATATATATATATATATATATATATGTATATATGTATGTATATATGTATGTATGCATGTAAAATGTATGTATCTAAGTATGTATGTTAGTACACATCTCACCAACACTGCAACGTAAATCAGTTCATACCTCGTCTTCGAATGTGTCTTCCTGATCGTAGTCCTCGAAATCACCACCGGGTGAACCACCTCCTCCATCATCGTCAGACATGATTATATATTCAAATATTAAAGAGCTGCTGCTTGAGTGAGTGTGTTTTCAGGTATTATCGAATGCGTTAGTGAGTGTGTGGTCAGTTATTATCGAAGACTTATATTCCACAGCAGTACAGATTCCATTCCCTCCTGTTGTGTGGTCGCATCAGTCATCATGTGTTTTTTAAACTTTTACTAAGGGGCGGGAATATAGGGGGGGGTTTTTTGGAAATTAGGACAAGCGGTCTCTCGTAGACCTCTCAGGCTCTCAAACCTCAGTGGTCAAAACAAAACACTTTTTGGCGAAATCAAAACTTATCTGGACCTCCATTAGGGCCTTTTATATATTATATCATCAAGGTCAAATCAACCTTTCTAGTGGCCTACATTAGGGCCTTTTATATATTATATCACCAAGGCCAAATCAACCTTTCGAGTGGCCTACATTAGGCCCTTTTATATATTATATCATCAAGGCCAAATCAACCATTCTAGTGGCCTACATTAGGGCTACTCGTCCAATTTAGAGACGAGGCTCGGAACACATAGAATTGTTGGGTTTTAGAGTTCTTACCTTGTGATGTTCATCCGATACTATCGTTACCCATCAAAATATGCTTTTTTGCTTCATATTTTTCTTTACATGTTTTTGTTCTATTTATTAGACGGCTGTGATTTTAGAACCCTATTATTATAGCCTCCAGTGTCCTTACTGCATTTATAAGATCAACAAGCGAACTACGACGAAGTGGTTAATCACATATCTCCATCATTCGTTAGTGGTGATACTGTTGAAATAACTGGAGGGTCTATGGAACACTCGCTCACAGAAGCATATGTACACAGCCTACACTCTGCATTTAAGTTTCTGTTTCTTTTCATCGCAAACCTTTCCAATTGAACGATGGCTTCATCTCCTAGCCTGGAATTTCTCAGTCCCATCAATCTGCAGTCACCAGCACAGTCACCACAGCCCCTCAGAAACACTCTCGATGATGGCCAAAGTATGGACCGTAATACTGATAGGGAACCTAGTACATCTGTAGCAAGTGAGAAATCTTCTGATTTATATCCAGGAAGCGTCTCGATAACGGCGACTTTGAATGGTATAAGTGTAGATAAAACAAGGGATGCGGCTATAGACAAAGATCATATTGGGACAGATTCTGGGAAGTCTGCATATGAATTTGTAAGATATGGTGAGGTGGATAGAAACAGGAAGTATATTTACGAGGATGAGGACAATTCTGATTTCACTGCCATTGCAGAGACGCGGTCTATCAATAGCTTGGGCTTGGAGCCTACACAGGTGCACACACAACACACGGAAATTTCGATCGCGAGCGGCAGTAGCACCAACACTAATAGGGCCGATAGCAAACACGATGCCCATAACAAAGTGAGCTGTATGTCCGGTAGCCAACTGCTGAAGAAACAGACGTCCAAGTCGCATCTACACACAGTCACTCAGACCAATTCACCCGCGTACGCATACCAATCTCTCGACTTTGAGCCTTATACGGGACCACCTACAGCACCCAAGAGACACAATACTCTGCCAGAAATCCAGCCCCAAGCTACACGCACAACCAAAGTTAGGACAGAGACGCGATCTCCACCACAGGCATACCTACAGACACTGGCGAGTGAACACAGTAGCGTGCTGTCACCAACACCACAACTCGGCGATTCCGACGTCCTTTTAGGTTCGGGACCAGATTATTCGATGGACAACAGATCAGCATCGAATGATATTATTCCGATGTCAACGGTATGTGCATTCGATACGAATTGTGAAGAGCCCCACGTGTGCTTGTATGTGTGGTCATAAGATACAGAAATTTTAACTAGAAATTGTCACTACGGTGAGACATATGTTGTTGTTATTATTGCAGTGATAGGTATATATGAAATGTGTCATTGGAAGAAATTGATGATAAGTAGCTTCACGTAGGACTCTTGCAGGATCAGTATACGACATGCATTCATCATAGTATAGACATATACTCATATGCACATCTGAAAGGATAATATATATGTATACATATAC